ATATTATTCAACAGAATTTTATTCTGCATTAAAAGAGCCTTTGAACCTGCAAGAATCAGCATATATGATGTTCATTTGACATTCATAGAAAATAGAACAAGTCACATATAAAAGATATTCAATTATAAAAATGCTGATGAACCTGTTACTGATCCAGAAGAAGATTTCAGGATAGAATACTTCAATGTGATGACCAATGACTTTAAACATAGGGCGAATAACCCTAATAATTTTAAAATTTTAAAATTTGGAGAAAGAATTTAAAGGTTTTAAAATTAGAACTAAAGATTTTATTATGGTGCCATTACAATAAAGTAAAATTAACGCGTGTGAAATAATCTACGAGCCAGACAGCTATCAACGGATTGGAAGTTGATAATGACAGGGAGAGTGTTTTAGATGTTAAATTTTGAGCTGGGTGCAGTGTGACAGCAATGTGAGTGTTATACACCTGATGATGGCCGTCTGAGGCCGAAACATGTAGTGTGGGGAAGCAAGATCAAAGACACAAAATATACTGTTTGCACTTGAGATGGAGTTTATATCATTTATCGAATATAATGAAACTCAAAAACTAGGTTTAAATCATTAAATTGATTTTTTGATATGTTTGACTTTCTATCTCAAATGTCAAAACCTGAAAACAATGTCAAAAGTAGAACTTAAACAGTGCCAAGATAACTGGGTGAAGTGTACAAGTATCTTGGTATCTTCTGTTTACTGAGGATAATTATGACTCTTCCTGCTACCTAAGAGGATATTTTCAAAACTGAAACTGATTAACTGAGGAATAGTATGTTTTGAACTGACTCCCTGATGACTAAATGTGTAGTTAAAAAAATGAAAACAGAAGAGGGCAAAGATATCCCTGTAACAGACCATGGAAGCCCATAGGGTTGTGAGATGTTGAGGTTTCTAGCCAACTGGCTCACAGATGACAGTGAGATTGTTAGCCTTACTCGCCATCTGCCCTTTACTCTAGGGAAGATTCCTGGTACTCATCTCTGTTAGAGGATGAGTCAACCCTAGGCCATAGTGTGGCTGCAAGGATTAGGTAAACTGAAAAATCCAATGACCCCACTGGGAATCAAACCCACAGCCATCTGGCTTGTACAATAGTGCCTCAACCAACTACACTACCGCACGCCCCCGTTAAACATGTGGTAACTGAAGCAATGGTTATTTTATTTAATATTGATTTTTCACTGAAGATACAATCTTCTGGGTGTGAGGCAGAAGTTTATTAATGTTTCAGAGGACTATATAAGTATAAGCCGTGCAAACAAGCAGGAAGCAACAATATTCACCTAGTTGGCCTACTCTTCAGCCTTGAGGATGGATGAATGCATACAGTACATTCTTCCAAACCACAATAAACTTCTACCAGACTATGGGGAAGAGGGAGGTGCAGGGAAATATAAAAGGCAAAAAAATTCTAATCTGCTCTTTTACATTAAAGAATTAATCAATAATGTATTTATCCTCAAGGAGAGTCAAGCAATCATTTAATCTTCAAATTCTAGATTGTTTTCAGAAACAGATTTGTTAAAAAAAATATTTGGCTGTGAAAGTGGATGTGCATCATGACAACAACCATTCTATCACAGGAGACTGGTAACTCAATTTTTGACCAAAAGACAAGTATCAGCGTTGAGACATCCATCCTAACTCGACCCTGAATAACTTTAATGTAATCCTGTCTCATTTCGAAACACCTGAAGACATTTAGAGTAATGGCTGACAGTATTAAAAAGCCAATGGAAAATGGTTTCCAGCAATGTTTGTAGGCATGGTAGAAGTGAAGTCCATGTATAAAATTGAATGTTAAGTACCTAGAAGGTGAACACACTCACTAGAGGTCAGTGAGAATATATTTTTGTTGAATCAGTCTGCTTATACAATCATCAGATCTCATAAACCAAGATACTGGATGATGACATGCTGACATGACACACCTCTTTAGTGGCACTCATTAAGATGCTACCTGAGGATCTGCTTCATCTTCCTTCTTTCTACCTTACTACAATGATAACCTCTCTTTGATTCTTCCTCCTTACTCTTTCGGCAAATGTTTTATTTCATATAGACTGAAGGTCATAACATATATATAATCTCTTTTTTCTTCCTTGTCTGTTCTTTTTTGATTTCTTGCCAGCTCTTTCCTCTTTCTCTCACTGCTTTCGGCATCCGATTAAACAACCTTGTTTGTGGTCGTCCCAGAGGCTCTGTCCCCTACATTTTAATTCTGTCCTTTTCACTATCACTGCTCAATCCATTCTGCTTACTTGACCAAGCCACCACAATACTTCACACGTTCCTCCCTAAAATTTCTTTAATTTATTTATACATTAACTAACGGCAGTATCCGTAACTCACATCACATAGCATGGTGCAAAGATTAGTGAACAATGAATTGGAAAGGATGTGGAATGGAGTGGTCATTACCTAGTGTTTAAAAGTATAACTCATACATCTTATCTCCTCTTAATAATACATCATTAAAAATGAAAGTACTAGGAAATAACTGAAAATACAATCAGTAAAAATCAAAGAGACTGACACAAAGAAAACTGGAAAAAATTAATCAAAATATATATGAAAACAGATTCACTATAAGCTGCAAGGATATCAAGACCTCGGAAAATATGAAATCAGAACCTGCTAGAACAGGCTAGAGTGCCTATACCAAGAATTTATGTGGAAAAGTAGTACAGTAGAACTTGGTTATAACGTCATCAAAGGGACCTAAAAATAGTGTCGTTATAAACGGATGTCGTAACCGAAATGGGCACTTCCACAGTAGCCTTATGTTAGTCACGTAAAAATCTACCAAAAACCGAGTTAAAATGTTGCATTTTTTAGTGAAATACGTAGTTAAGTACAGACTAACGTAACATTAACGTGGAATTGCCCAAATGTGTAATATCAAAGACATATTACAGCGCTTTTCACTGACAATACACACCGCACTAATACTGTATATTAAAGGTAGGCCTACTCACCAAATTACAGTAGATTACATCAATTGTTGTGCCTTACTGTACCTAGATACGAGTACAGTAATCAGTTATCTTCATCTGTTTCCTGTTACTTGCCCAATACACACTTTCTAAATTACGTTCAATGTCCATATGAGAGAAATTCAGGAATGAAAATGACATTACATACGAGGTTGATGCATTTGTGCATGTCGTACTAAGCAAGGTATAAAAACAGTTGCTTTATGAGGAATTAGTTCGTACCATTGAATATTTGACGCAATAGACAAGGTGTCGCAGAAACCGATGTTGCTATAACCAAGTTTTACTGTAGTAACAGCAGCAGAAGTCTATTACATTATATCCATTCTTTCTGTTTTGATGGGATTTTCATCAATACTTTTGGTACCCTAACAAATCCTGTGTTCAATTACAGTTTCTTTTCTGCCTTTCCTTTACTGTTTTGTTCTTCTTCCTTTCTTATTTTACTATAGGCATATAATTTGGAAGCACCTTACCTTTACAATGGAACAGTAATAATGATAATGAATTTAATGAATGGACAAAATGTACCTCCAACATGTGACCAACTGAGAAATAAACATTATTGAGATTGCACTTCATCATGTTTTACCCTCAGATCTTTTCTTTTTAATTTGCTAGTGTGGGGGGGGGGAGTCCAACTGGGTCCACTGATTGGCCTATTGTAGCCTGAACTGGGTGATGATGGAGAATTTGGTGGAATGAAGATTGGCTGGGGAAACCGAAGTACTCGCAGAAAACCCACCCCAGCGCCACTTTCCACCACAAATCCCACTTGACCAGACCTGGGATTGAACCCGGGCCGCCGCAGTGGGAAGCCAGCGACTAACCGCTTGAGCTATGGCGCGGCCACCCTCTGATCTTAGAAGTTTGTGTATTTACTACACTGCACATTCAAATAAACTACAAACTACTTTAATGATCATAATAAAAAATTAAGGAGCTTTCAATATATTCCTGGCATAACTGAAAAGACTGTACTTCTTCTAACATTTTATAAAATAATGGCTACAACCATGTTACTGTTGAATTCAGAAGAGGATGGATTATATACTTAAAAATATAAAGGTACAAGTTAACTAGCCAAAATGTGGTCCATGCTAACTCCTGTTTAAAAGAATGCTGTGAACCTGTTTTACTTGGATCTTCTAAGAAGTCAATCCCACCATCCAATGATACTTACCAAAACTGATTCCGAATTAATTCTAAATTCTAATATGCACAATTTGAGCCAATGAAGAAACAAAACCATACAACCATATGGTTTCAACATGTTTCAACAGAATAGCAGGCACATCCCCTTAGTTGTTTTCATCAAAAACAGGTCAGAAGGCATGGCGAAAAAGGATCACTGTTGAGTCTAATCCTCAGTATCAGAACAGACTAACAAGGCCAATCGCACAAAGACAATGAAAATTGATTAAATTAATGAAAACTATACCAACATTAGGTACTAAGTACTGGGTCACACTCAAATGTCCTTCAGCTCTGCTTCCTGTCTCTTACGAAATAATTACACTCTTTGAAGGCAAAGAGATAAACTCAAAGAGAGCAAACATGGTAATGTATGCTGACACTTTCACTCTTTCCAGTACAAACACTTCTCATTTATTAATGATATTCCTGGTTTTCTTTTTGGGGTGGGCACCCACAAACCAGAGGTTTCATTGTATGTGGAAGTGAATGGAAAAATATGAATTCCTTTTAAAATGGAAACTGCTATTATCATACAAGTTGCAATGACCTTTAGAAATTCTGGCAGTACATTCAAATATTCAACACTAACACAAATCCAAAGAATCAGCACCAGTAAATAACACTAAAGACATTCTGTTTTCTATAGTATTTTAAAATCTGGCAGCTGGAAATCTACAGAGACCTGTGTGTTCATGCATGTTTTTTTATAATACATGTACATGATATTCAAACTTTAGAACTTCTTTTATTTCAGCATCAGCTGGCAAACAGGTTAAAGCTTACCTGAAGAACAGGATTGAATATAAACTTGCTTTCAGTCTCCTTCCTTGGGGTCGCTATACCAGTGATAGGGGTCATCTCCATCACTTCTGTCATTTCCTGTTAAGTGAAACGAGCTTATCAGATGCAGTCTAGCTTACAAATGAATACACTGTACTGAATGTAACAAAGTTAATGACACAATTTAAAAGCAAAATTATTTCTTCTCCTTGTATTTTACCACATCTTCAACATGAATACTGCACAAGCCATGATTTATCTTCCATCACTGTTAATTATTTAAGCTGAATTATAAAACAAGCCACTTGTTACAAAAAATATTAATTTTAATATTTCTTCTTCTTCTTAGATCATTAGAATAACTTCCATCCAGATGTATTCGTACAGTCTGAAATACTGCCCTTGTCAATTCAGACCTTCAGGTTATACTGACGGGTATACTCGTCACATAAATCCCTCCCACTAATAAACGAGGGTCTCAGTGCAGTGACTACAAAGAATATCCTTCTGTGGGATATGATGCCATTTAGTCTTGCAGAAATTTACTGACATTTCAGAAGAATACACTGCCTCCATTTTTAGGGTAACAGAGTAAGTTGAGCAAGCAAGTCAGCCTGCTCAGTTTAGTCCTTGACCCTGATGACAGAAGCAACAGGTTCCTCCAAAATGTCAATAAAGTTCTACCACATTACATGGCATCACCTCCAAAGATGGCATCCTTCAAATTCAACCTCTTTTCACACACCATAATTCATATATATGAAATAACTAACTTCATGGAGTTGAGCCCTTCTTGAGAAGCTGCCAGTTGTGCAGCCACTCAAAAACTTCCCAGGACTTTATTCAACCCAGATGTTCATAACCGTGTTCACAAGAGCTTCTCCACTGGTCCCTATCCTGAACCAGATCAATCGAATCCACACCATTTCATCCTATATTTTTAAGATCCACTGAATAATATCCACCCACCTACATCTTTGTCTTCCTAGTGATCTCTTTCCTTCTGGGTTTCCCACTTATATCATATATGCACTCCTCTTCTCCCCCATTCGTGCTACATGTCATGACCATCTCATCCCCCTTGACTTGATCATTCTAATTATACTTGGCAAAGAGTACATATATGTAATCATAATTTTAACTCTTATAAGCTCCTTGATCAACCGCGTGTTTCTCAGTCCATTTTGTAAGACTTCCTGATCTGCATAAGTTATGCAGTATCAACTGGAAGGATGAGTAAGAAAGATGTACATGGGAAAAGCAATCATTGTGTGTCATAGGGCACTAACCCACCATACACTTGGCCAAGTGAAGATACATAATTCTTACAATACCATCAACATCACTATCTAGTACTAACAGTGTTTTTATTCTACCCACTACATGTTTCGACCTAATTTCTGGGTGATCCTCAAGTGCTATAAATACCTAAACATCAAACATCTGAACTGTCATGCCATATACCGTAATGGAACATGAGTCCCTTGTTCAAAGGCATTATCAAACTGGATAACTATAGTAAAGTCAAAGAGTGAAATCTATAATTATAAATGTAAGAATATGCAGGCAATAAAATCAATCCAAATGTCATTTACTGTGCGAGAATAAGATGTACTATGTAAATGTACATATTCATATTCATATTTATTTGCATTCATACTGTTACAACTGCAACACTTGAACAAGTCAACTCACTAAATACATCATTGTTAAAAGCTCTATAATCCTAGAATGTATTAGACTAAAAATAAAACTGTACTTGCCTTACAACATTACTAAGAATTTTAAAAATATAACAATAACTACTATAATTCCCTTTTCTTCTATGCTTCCTCATGTCCCTGTTGAAGAAACTCATTCAATGTATAGAAAGGACGATCAAATAAAAATAATTTTAATTTATGTTTAAATTCATTACATCCCTTTGACTTTTTAACTTCCAAAGGAAGTATATTATATAATTTAATGCCCACATTAATAACACTTTTCTTAAAAACTGATGTGTTACATTGTTGTACATGAAGATCATCTTTCCTCCTAGTATTATACTCGTATAAATCAGTATTTCTCGTAGTGTATATATTATATCTCTTAAAATAACACAACACCTCTATGATGTACAAGGACATAATAGTTAAAATCTTCAATTCTTTAAATAAAGGTCTGCATGACACTCTGTTATTTACACCTTTCATGAAACGAAGCATTATTTTTGTATTTTTAAGACTTTAATACTTTCATTTTCTCCTCCCCAAAAAATCAACCCATAACTTACCAACGATTGAAATTTGGCAAAGTATATATTCCTGAGTATATGTAAACTTACCTCATCTTTCAAAGATTTAATAATATAACATACCTTAATCAATTTTGAACACAAGGACTGAATACGTACACTCCATTTGAGATTTTGAGTTATATTAATACCTAAAAATCTAAACTGAGATGTAAACTGAGACGTTGTGTATAGTCTCTGTGTGTACATTGCTGGTTTGCTGCTTGGCTTCCTGTTTAGTTAGGTTAAAATTACCTAAAAAATTATATGGTGGGAAGCCAGCAACTAACCGCTTGAGCTATGGCGCGGCCCAGCTTCTCCATACTTCAATTCCTGAGTTATGTCATGGAGTAGTTACTATAGGATTCTGACCATGGTGTATAACACACAGAGATATTGGGTTTTCGGACTTTATCCATCGTCCTGGTTTTTATGATGACTAAGAAAAACACGATGTTTCGGACCAGTGATTGAGGCTAGCTCTTTCTAAGGGACCCAACAGAATAGGTGTTTTCCCTCACCTGAGGACGGAAACAGATCCGGTTTCCGAAACGTCATGTTTTTCTTAGTTATCTTAAAAACCAGGACGATGGATAAAGTCCGAAAACCCAATATCTCTGTATGTCATGGAGCTATAACCTAAGTGTAAATGTTTCTGATGATGTCATACTGTAATAAACATGACTGTAGCTCTGAACACTGTCAACTATTTTGAGTCTTTCAGACACAATATTTATGAAGATGGATCTGTTTCTTTCATCAGATGCACAGTAGGAAAGGTAGCTCTCACTGACGGGCAGAACTGAGCAGGAACCATCCCTCTGTTTTAAGTGATGATGGAATGAGACCAATTTTCTGAAACGTCATGTTTGAAGAAACTCAAGAACAATGGACAATGTCCAAAATAAGTAATGTTTAACGTAACTATAAGGTCAGAATTACAGAAAATCCAATAACTTCCAATTTTAGATATCAGTGGTAGAAAGTACATAACATGACTCCATATAGGCGAGGTTTGTCCACACACGAGTTTCTTCTCTGAAAGTACTGAATAGATTTTGATAAAATCTGGTATTGAGGATCTACAGTGAAGGCAACAAATAAATTTAATTTTGTTTCACAGTGGCTTAACAAAACTTATATTTTACATTTTAGTCAAATCAGACTCTGTCACAAAAATAGATCTTCATACAGAAAAAATATCCATGACATAAAAATTATGACTGCCTATCTCACTGAAATCTACATATTTTATCTAAAATATTTTCTGAGATTAACTTTGCAATAGTAGAACTGTACCCGTTACAAATGAAAATCAAAGTTAATGATGTATGGAACAGGGAAAGAAATACAGTTAGAAAATATGTCCATGAATGTATCACTGGACTATTGTCTTTCCACTCTTGGTTGGCTGAACTGGACACACTTCATGACTTAAAAATTTCCAAGTTACAAGGTCTTTCTGTGAACTTGTTCGTTCAGAAAAGTGCAGCCTGATGGAACGAAAGCAAGATAAGTGTATATGCATATGGGAAGTACCTGTTGCAGTCAAGCTGACACAACAGCCAACATGGATTAAATGTGTGGTTGGCATGCAAACTAATTATTGCAGAAGAAAATGATAAGACGCATGTAAGTTATTCTCACCTTCAGAATGAATTCAACTTCAGGCTGTCCAGCACTACCCAGATGTGATGACTCCCTTTGTCCCAGCCCTGACATCTGGAACAAAGAAGGCAAATATTTTTTTTTCTTAATATTGTGCATCTTGTTGTATGTCACAAATAAGATATATAAAGTATAGAATATACCATCTACACAACAACAATCAGTATTCAAAACAAAGAAGACACTAATGCATCAACATTTGCTTTTATTATGTTTATTAGAGACGCAACATATTTCGACCCTTTCACGGGCCATAAGGCGTACTATGCACCAGTCTGAGCTGTTGAGTTGCAATCAACTGTCATTTTATTCATCGAATGAGGATTCTTATTGTATCGTGAAATTAAATTCAAGGTAGATGTATAACAAATCTTGGGTGAAATTTAAAGCTAAAACCCTTAGATAAAAATTAAATTTCAAATTACAGAAGTAAAGATAAATTAAAACAAGAGAACAAAGATTAAGACATGAAAATTAAAACAGTGTTTTGTTGGTAACACTTGCGACTGCTACGTGTAGGCCTGGTTTTAAGCCGGAAGAAGCAACTACAGCACAGGGGACCCGCGTAACAGAATCTTCTCAATAGGATGGGTCATGTAGCCATGACCTTGGTAATGTCTTAGAGGGTTTATGCTCAATATACGGTAAGTGATATATATTAGGTTGCACTTAAATATTGTTTCATTTCATAAATTTGTAGTTCATTTACCAGTGCTGTCAACAACTCAGACTACATGGCATCCAGTAAATTGATGATAGTGAATAAAGAACTGAAAAGCATGTGGAAGGCATCAGTCAGCCCAATATAAGGTCCTACAGAAATAAACCAAATGATGATTGTTTATTCTATGAATCATATAATAGATATACGTATACTCTGTGAGCAAAATCCAGGGCTTTGCAAGTTAAAGCAGATGGTACACATAGTACAGCTTTGAAATCTTAAAAAGGGTCAAAATGTTGATGATAATATTAAATCCTTCCTCTTAAATGTAGAGAGGTCTTATTATTATTGCAAATGTCAACATACTGAGGCAAATACATTCACTTACATCCCTGTAAACACAAATAATCAATATTTCAATTAAAAGTCACCAACAATTACAATGGATGTAACAAGATTAAAATAACAACCCAAAAGCTTCCACCTGAATCATTCAAACACTCCATCTTTGTTTGACAACTAAGTAGATTTCAGGTTTCCTTAAAAACAAATATAAAAAATAAGCAGAACAAGCTGTTTTGAAATTAATAAAATCTAAAGTCAGAAGCAATTGAAATATGTAAAATGCCACAGAGTGCAAAAATTTGACACAAGTATGTACGCCACTATGCGAGAGCTTGTGAACTTACATTATTTTATAAAACTGCATCCAATTATGAATCACTATGACACCATATTATATGATATCCACCACTCTGACGAAACTCATGGTGTGATGATAAGTAAAGAGATAATTATTAAAAAATGGCTACTAGTCCATTATATGCCAGTCTCAAGACTGATTGTAAGCAAAAATAAGAGTTTCTATTGATTTTGCAAGTTATCATGAATTATTACTGAACGAAAGAATACAATTTTCATTACAAATTAAAGTTTGAGGTACCAGAGTTTGACTCTGGTCTTATGTCCCAACATCATGCTTACATTACTATTCCTGTAGTACAGAAGTCATGTATTATAGATTAACATGTTAATTATACATATCCTGTTACCATCCTTACTAATTACTGATCATTTAAATTTATTTATGCTTCACTTTCATGCTTTATTACTATCCACTCCCATTTCTCTTTATATTTAATCATATATGCACCCATTTCCTGCCAATGCTCTTTATTTTTGCATGCTACTATCCCCTCAATCCCATTTACTTTCAGTCCCACCTGACATATTCTAAAGCAAATTTGAAAAGCAATGGTGATAAAGCATCTCCTTGTTTTAAATATTTTTTAATAGGAAATGTATGAGGCAAATGCTGACCTATATGGGACTTTACTGTAGGCTTCATTTAAACATATTTTAGAACGTGTAACTATTTTCCAGGGTACCCCAAATTCTACGAGAATACTGTATTATACTTCCCTCATAATTGAATCATAGGCTTCCTTGAAGTATACAAATAGCTGACGTACTGTCTGACTACTCCCATTTTTTCTCCAGTATCTAACAAATGTAAAAATTCTGATCAGTAGTTGATTTGTTATGTCAAAACCCACACTGATGATCCCTAACAATAATAACGAGGAGAGAAAGACACTGAATAAAATTCTGCATTCGGCTTATAACAGTGATATGCCTCAATAATTACTACAGTCAGTTTCAACATCCTTCTTGTAAACTGGTACAATAATATACTCCTTCCCCTGCTGAGGAAATTCTTCCTTATTCCAAAACAGAATTGACGAGTTTACAAACCTCAGAACAGAGAATCTAGTGTCCCACCTTGTGCCTGAATCAGCTCTGCTGAATCTTATATCTGCCAATTTACACTTTTTCAACCTTGCAATATAAATTTCAACCTCAAATAATAGTGTGCTTTAAAAAGTTAAATATATCCATGACAATAAAGAAATACAACAATTCTGTCCATAATACACAGCGTCTCCTCCATGTAGTGTAACTATTCTGTCAATGACGATGAAAGGATTGTAGATGTTACACTCAAATACAAAGCTTGTATAGTAATTAGGTTGTATGAAAAATTCAAATACATGTCATGCAATTATGACAGGGCTTACTTTCAGGGATGTGGAAATTTCCTTGCCATGACATGCCTTGGGACTTACAGGCTTACAGCACATCAACAATGATTGCGCAAGATGGTTACTGCATCTCTAAACCCCATGTCCACAAATAGGTTCTTGTGTAATGAGGTTACAGTTTGACTGAGGTCCATTGCAAATTCTTGAATTAACACCAGTGTTCTGTACAAAATTCTTCATGTTCTGGTTGCTCTGACATACTTCTAGCCTAACTTCCTTATTTTATATAAGATAGGCTTACAAAACCATGCAAACCTCTGAGGTGGGAGTGACCCCTAGCACCGCTTAACGTATGTTCAGGAAATGGCCTCTAAAAAATATGCAGCACCCCTCCCCAGTGTAAACAAAAGTGGTTGCAAGAAATCTTGTATTTATCTTCCTGCTTAAATCGCAGAACAAATTTCATGGGCAGAGGACATCAACTAAATATATAACTAAATAACGATTTAATGCCTCCTTGAAATGCCAATAGCTGCTGAGCCACCCAACATAGTCTTCGCATTTTATGTAACCCAAAGCTTAATAACCATGTTTACAAAAGCATGCCGCTCATCACCTATTTTGAGCCAAATTAATCAACTTAACACCTTCACATCCAGTTCTGTGAGACCTACTTTAATATTATCCTCCCACCTACAACTAGGTCTTCCAAGCAGTCTCTTTCCTTCATATTTTCCCATAAAAATATGAATCTCTTTTCTCCCATGGGTGCTATATGTCCTGCCCATCTCATCCTTCTTGATCTAATCACTGTAATAATATCTGGCATGGTGTGCATGTTATGAAGCTCCTCATTATTGAAGTTTTCTCAAGCCTCCCATTATTTCAACCCCAACATACCCACATATTCTCAGCACCCCCTGCTTCCTCTACAGACATTTTCTGTCTTTAAGACGTACAGGTGCAATGATTACTTCCTGACTATGAAAGAACACATAACAGACAAGTTCCTGTGTTATATACTACACTGTGACTGCAATCTAATGACTGTAACATAAACGAAAACAAATACTCAAGGTAGATTCAGAGGAAATTTCAGACTTCATATGCAAGGTTACAGTGGAAATACATGCTTCCGGCCACAGGTCTACTTAATAAATGTGTTAATAACCTAATGTAACACAATAACTCCATTGTGCCCTCTTTGTCACTACATTACAGATGGTATTTCATTAGTATGGACACTTCCTTTGAAAAAAAAGAAGTGAATGCACTCTGCTACCAGCAAGTGACAGATCAAGTTATCCACTCATGCTCAATGCACATACACTTCACCACAGAAACTACGCTGCCACAGACCAAAAGAATATTTCTTCTTCAAAGACCCTCTGTGTGCTTTATTATTTTATCTTATGTGTAATGACACTGTATCACCTACGATATTATGGTAAAATATATGACTATAAGATATAAGTTTAAAGGGATATAAGAGGTAGTGAATGTGTGTCTATTTCAAGATAATTTCCTGGCATTGGCTTGAGGCAGCTTGGAAATGATGTAATTACACCTCAAATGATACAGCTTTAAACTGGCTGTTCACTTAAAGCATACTAACCTGGTTAACATTTAATCTTGGAAGAGTCCTCGCAACTTGCTGCACTCTGCTATTACTGCTACCACCTCCACCTTGAGGCGGTCCTTTTGGTGGTACAATGCCACCATTGGACCGATGATCATTGCTGCCTCCACCATGCTTCACAGGTTGTCCAGGATATCCGCCCCTACCCCCATGAGGCGGTTTCCCATCTGCAGGCTTCACAAACCCACCTCGAGGAGCACTGTGAGGATGGTAATGATTGTTCACCCTCCCGTTACTCACAACACTGCCATGCTGATGTGAAGATGGCTTCTTGAATTCCGGAGTTTGCTGCAGTCGTGTACTGGCAGCTGAGAAGAAAGCATGGGTGCCCCCAGGTGCAGGGCTGGGAGGGACACCATCAATTCCAATCAAGCGTTTGGAATCATCTTCCAGGATCTGCTGCACCGCATCATAGTCGCCCAACTTACTCTGTATCTGCCGGGTTACTTTGTCAGCAGCTGAGGGGAGCACCTGCAGCAAGTTGAGACACATGACTGTAGAAGTCTTGGAAATAAACAACAATAATAATATTCATGAGTAAAAATGGAGAAGTTGCCGTCACATGAACAAATATTGTTAATCAACTTACAACATGTTTCAGCCCAAAGTGGCATTATCTCGTGTGTCTTGAGTAATACATGAATGGTGACAGAATACACAGAGACTACAATGCTAGTATAAATTTATAGTAAAAGAGTAAATATTTCATCACCTTAAGAAGCACTTGATGATGGCCTGTCTGGGCCGAAACATGCTGTGGGTTCATTAATAAAAACATTTGTTTCTGTGATAGTAACCCCTCCATTTCTATGCACCACAAAGAGGATGTAACATTACAAGGAAATATTTAAGAGATCTGGAGTTTTCATGGCAAATACCTGAACTGTGGTCTTCTGGTTTATGAAACTGTACAGTCTTGTAGGTGATTATCAACATTCCAGAGGAACCTTCTGTCTCCATCTTCTGTATAATGATGGATTCTGTAGGTCCCTCCCTACTAGACTGTACGATGTCATAGCCCAGAAGATGATCCCAAAAGAACAATATCCTCTTGCAGTCATGTCTAGTGATCCAGACCTACTAGAGCTGGAAGGCTATTTCAGAAACACTAAATAAAACTGGAGAATCCTCTCTACTGAAGACACAGAGGAGAAAGTACTGATATGAAATATTCTGCATCACTATGCCACCTCTTGATAGGACTGGCATGCAACTGAAAATTAGTCTTCAAGCACTGGCCAGGTCAAAGCACAGGGCAGTCATAAAATAAATCGATTAAGTGAAATGAAGGACCCAGGATATGACTCATAACATACATACGTATATCAAGACACTTTAATTATAAACGAGTATGAGTGATTAACTATGCAACTACTACTATAAAAACACATGTTTCAACCTCAAACTTGGCAAACAAATCGTTGAAAGTCAAATAACACCTGCTTCATGTTCTAAACAGAGGTAATCTGACACTATGCTGCAAATCCTCCTGCACAAGACAGGCAAGCTCCCTGCATATCTTTCTGCCTAGGTTTAGGCCTGCATCGCAATCCACAAACCCATAGACCAACAAAGCACGAGCAAAATCCACCAAGATAGTGGGCTTCTGGGTTGTGATTCTGTGGGCAGATACAAAAGTTTCGGAGGAACATACTTCCTCCATCTTCAGGGATTAATTGTGTAGGTAGAGGAATATGTTTAATTATATAGACAAGTCACGCCAAAGTTCATCATGGGACAAGAGAGGAACGTTCTGAGAATGGGCCCTACATTCCCAATTTTCAGTTTAAATTTACCTCCTGCAAGAAAAGATTTACTGGGTCCTGAAAGGAGCCAACGATGCCCATTTTTCACTAATTCAATTTTTCTTCTGAAAACAACAGTGGATCCATGGAAATATCTGTTCTTCCGCAATGCCCACCTCGCCACATATGATAAAACACGTGTGCCCTTTTTGAGGACAATTTTTTGTTCATTTGTTGTCCATTTCTTTCCACCGATTAGCCTCGGTCCCTTTCTTTTTACTCCTTTCCATGGGTCCCATGACTACCTTCCACGAAACTTGCTTACATAACTAAGCAAATTCCTGAACCTACACACTTAAACCTTGAAGACCGAGGCAGTATCTTCCTCCGAGACGTCATATCAGCACAAACATCTACACAGTTGCACAGTCCAGAATACCATAGCCTTAACAGTGACCGCCGTGAAACCCTCAAACCCTATAAAATCAATCCATATCATGGCAGTCACAGAAAACGTTCCATGCTGCTACTATAAGCATTTCTTGCATATCAGTAAAACGTTCACATTCGAGCAGTGAAATTTTGGAAAGTGAGAACCCCCGATTTCTTGTGAAAGGCGTCTACGAGATTTTCCAGGTGAATGTTCAAGCACAGCACCAATTTCATCCACCTTCTCTTCAGTGAACACACACAATTTTCATTGTAAATTTTATTTTGTCTATCAACGATCCTGTCTAAACGCATTAACGAGTGTATGGATCAGCTTTTCTTTATGTGGAAATCCAACGTCCTGAAATTCGTGCCGAAATCTTCTCCTTACTTTCCCAAGTATGCACTGTACATGAATACTTGTTTCTATGCGTGACCTTAAAGTGCCATTTCGACGTAAGTAATGCGGCCGAAGGAATCTTTAATGCAGTAGCAGCGGCTTAGGGGATTACGGTCGACAGTCGCATGAGCTTGCTTTATGACACCTGCCCAAAGATTTACTGAAGCGATACTGAACAGCCACTGCAATATGTATATGATACTGGCGTGTGTCGGCTATACCACGAGTCCGGAAACATGCCGTGCAAATTGGCGCGGGAGCCGCGTGTCCTTCCCGCTGTAAGAATCGAACGATTTGCGGCAGGCTCTGGGGTAATTCCTCTTAACAGCAGCTCTCATAAGAGTGACAGCATGTGGAGAACTATCAATACCGGTTACTGGTGAACACAACGCAATTTCTGGTATATGGCAGACAACTTTTAGACTACACTCCACTCTCTCTGCATTATGGATGTTCCACTAGCAGACAGGCTGAATACTGAAATCTGTGGACAACTAAAGTGATGTCCAAAATTATGTTAGCAGATATTGATTATTCATTCTATTTAAGCATGGAACGGTGGTTTCTATTCCCGATGAGATCATTGGATGTTTCAATTGACCTAATCCTTCCAGCCGCACTATGGCCCTGGGGACGACTCAGCCTCTAACAGAAATGAGTACCAGGAATCTTCCTTGGGGGTAAGGACGGCCGGCGAGTAAGGCTGACAACCTCATCGCCATCTCTGAGCCGAATGCCTAGAGAATGTGGGAACCTCGACGTCTCACAACCCCATGCACCTCCACGGCCTGTTTACTTTACATTTAAGCATAGTTCCGCTTTATAGATACACCTAAACAACATTATTAACTTTACAGATGACTTCTGTCGTGCCGCTTTTGCGACCTAGGATTTTTCTTGCCACCAATGAATCCATTAATCCATCATACTGAATCTATGAATAATATAAGTTACGTCCAAAAACAGTACGGAATTATTAATTTGCAGATACATCTACAGTAGCATTATTAACCTTTATGAATGGTTTGTTATGCCGTTTTTGTGACCTGGAATTTCTTATTGCCAACAGTCCACGCGGTAGCGTAGTTGGTTGAGGTACTATACTACAAGTCGGAAGATCGCGGGTTCAAGTCCCGATGAGGTCACTGGATTTTTTCAATTGACGTAATCTTTCCGGTCGCACTATGGCCCTTGGGTTGACTCAGCCTCTAACAGAAATGAGTACCAGGAATTAATTAAATAATTTTCCTGGGGAGTAAACCGCGGCCGGCGCGTAAGTCTGACAACCTCACCGCCATCTTTGAGCCGACTGTCTAGACTCTAGATAATGTGGGACGCTCAACGTTTCACAACCCTATGAGCCTTCACGGCCTGTTACAGGGATAGCTTTCCTTTTACAACAATCCACGAGTCATGCCACTCCGCTAAGCGCCATTTTTTTTCATGGTGACCAGCTCCATCACTCTGTCAGGACAAGCAGAAATTTTACGTTATAAACGGGCCACTCAGCCATGGCTTTTCCACCGCAGAAGGAAATTTCAGTGTAATATGTGCAACATCATTCTTCACACGGATTATAATTAATATGGATATGAATATACACTCTAATTTGTGTTCTCTGGTGTTACCGCATGCATCGCACCCAGTTGTTAAGCATAATAAATGACAACGGCGTATTCAAGGCTTCGAAACTTACATCTGTCAAATCGTCCCTTTCTGTTTATTGTGCTACCAAGCTTGAAGTGTCACAGAGTTTTTCCGGGCGTTGTTTCTCGGATAAAGGTAAAAATGTAAAGTTGTCCCTGTACTTAACTAATAAAGCACTATGCCATGAAGGCATATGGGGGAGTGGATGTATAGATCCACATTTGTCTTGAACTCGGCACTAGCTGGAAGTGAGTGATCAGCTTCACGCCCCGGCCGTTTTACCCCGGGGAAAGAGCCCCCCGTACCCATTGGACAGGGGCTTGCCCGAACCCCAGAGCCAGTCTGGACGACGTGGAGAAGTGAAAATTCTTTACTCTACCGGGACTAAACTCCTGACCTCTGGGTCGTTCTGCCCGTAGCCAGTCGCTATACCGACTAAGCTATCCCGGCTCCTGTAGTTTTCCAAATACACATTCTAATGATTTACAAACAAGTGCGGTATTCAGTTCCCATATTGAAGGATTATAGCGGCCGTGAAAAGCCTGGATACTGGCCTTCAATCGCTTACAATATTGTGACCTGTGGACCCATTGCTAGGGAACGCGCTGACAAACACGTTTCCACAGAGATGGATTCTTGGAAGCAAACTCGTTACGGAACAAGTTTCCTGGGATACAAACATGAAACATGGTTCCCTGGAAATATATTTCTTGGGTTCACCTGGCGTGTCCCTGGATACGGATACGCTATATAAGGGGCCGTTCAGATCAGAATTAAGTGACAGAACCTCGCGTGGAGGCGGGGTCGAATACCTCCACCGTAGCCCTGCGAGTCGTAGGAGGTGCCTGGGGGTATAATTGCGCCACCCTGTTCCTGGTGGATATAAATACGGGGATCTGGTCTTCTAGTTTGGGGGTCTGTCCAATTTGAGGCAGTAAAATGAGATCATGAGCCCCGCGGGACTAGGACCCGAGAATGACTGCGCGGGTGAGGACCAGCAGCAATTGTAAACGACGGACCCATATTTTCGTCAGTGAGGATGTCACATAAGGACTATGACTGAAAGTGTTCAGTTGAAAAAAAATACTGGTCGTGATTCTCAAGACGAACTGACTGGCGGTAAACAGCCAGTCATAAATTAACTCTGACTCTGAAAATAAAGTCATTCGTAAATCAGAAGCCACTTGCAGTTAAGACCAGAATTGAGTCATAGTTCAGATCAGAACTGAGCAAGTTCGGCTGAGAGTTGT